CTGGCCTGCGGAAAGGCTGATACGGAGCCATGAGGCCGTCCACAACCGTCTTGACCTGCTGCCAGGCCTGGCACGGCACGGACGCGGACCAGGGAGAGCGCGCGCACACCGTGGAAAGCGTCCGACGAGGGCGCCCGGTGAAAAACTGTGGGCACACGTGAGAGCACGTGCACCTACTGATGGGCCTGTTTTCCACCACCACCACCATAAGTTGGAGGGGGGAAGGAGGTGGAGGAGGAGGAGGAGGAGGAGGAGGAGGAGGAGGACTCCCTCCCCCTCCAACTTATGGTGGTGGTGGTGGAAAACAGGCCCATCACCTACAGCGACGACGGCAACACGTAGAGCTCCAAAGGAGGTGGGAGTGTAAAGGAGCCAGGGAAGGTCCTTGATGCGCACGGCCTGACCTACGCGGGAGCACGGGAGACTGGCAGGCACGACCAGAAGAAAGATCCTTGGGGTTTGGGGGGCACCGTGCTACCGTGCACGTGTGTCGGAATCGAGAAGTTCACGCTCATTTGTACTGGCTACTGGCGGCTCGGATGGTGTGGTGTCGGATCCAAATCCAGCTTCGCGAAAGTTCGGTCGCCATGGCAGGTGGGGAGAGGAGCTGACGAGAAGAGGACGAGCAGGAAGACTGCCGCGGCACGGTGGCGCGCTGGGCCAAGGGCCCCTAGATCCACCGCCCCGTGTGGCCTGCCGCAGGGGTGCACGGCGTGCCAGACGTTCGATATAAGTTTCGGCCATGCCCAAAGCGTCTTAATGGGCCTTCGGCCGATTCCGCCAGTAGAGGCCTCCTAGATGTAGAGGAAAAAGAACTATGCACATACACCGATTCTGGCTGGCCAGGCCCATCCTGAGACCAGGATCGGTGCATACGCCCTCCTGCTTTGGCCAGGAAGGCATGTGCACCGATCCTGGGTCAAGGATGGGCCTTGCCAGGACCGGTGCCTGTGCATGGTTCTCTTCGCCCGATAGATGGGTCCGAGCAGATGGGGTCGGAGGATCGCACCGCATCGCCAATGCATCGCCAATGCATCGGCGATGCATCGGCGATGCATCGCCGACATCGGCCACGCATCGGCGACGTCGGCGTGGAGAAAATCGGGCTCCGCATCGATCCGCATCGTCGATGCATCGGCGATGCGGCGCGATCCTCCGACCCCACCTACTCCGACCCCATCAGGGAGGCCTCGAGCCAGCCACCCCGAAAGGCGCATGGACGGCCGAGGTGAGGCGAGGCGACGCGAGGGGCGGCAGCCCGACGCGGCGCGACGCGGCGCTCCGCCGAGCCAGAGGAGCCGCGTGCCCGGCGCGTGCAGCCAACAGCTTGGCCCAGGCATGCCACCGCCACGCCCAGGTTCCGGCCCTGGCCGCCAGCCACGAAGGCGCTGCGCACGACGTCCGCCAGCGTCGAGGCATCCGCGAGGCTGGCGCTGGCATGCTCGACAAGCGCGTTCCGCGACTCGCACAGAAGAGAACTGCTCGCAAGCGGCCCGGCTCCGCCGAGGAGGAGCCGCAACCCGTTCCCTCGAGGCGAGAGCCTGCGAGTAGGCGCTTGGCGAGTAGTGGAACGCGCAACCGGTGACGAACGAGTGCCCCGCAGCGCCGCAGTGGATCGTCGTCGGCGTGGGGCTCGTGCTGAGCTGCAGGTTCACCACCGCCTGGGGTGGCGTCCAGCTGCTGGCAGAGCGGACGTCGAGCCCGCGCACCTGCAGGGCTGAAGGGGCTCTGGGACACACACACACACACACACACACACACACACACACACACACACACAAATACACACAAATAACAGGATTCCCCATATTTTCCTATATTTTCCTACATCTTCTGGGAATCGACGATTCATTGTGTCTGTGTGTTTTTTCCCCTCCTGCAGGGCGCTGACCTCGTCGCAGTCGCCGTCGGCCGGGCACGCCTCGTCGGGCGCCGCCCCCGCCGCCCCGCCGAGCGGGCTCAGCCGAGCGGGCGCGGGCCGTGGCTGGTCGGCTGGCGCGCGGCAGCGGGGCAGCGGGGCGCCGGCCGCTGGGCAGACCCTGAGCTCCGACGGGCTTCGCGCCACGCGCCGCTTCTTTTGCGGGGCCGCGGGCGCCTGGGACCAGGCTCGAGGGATTCGGAGGCTCCTGTGTGGTCCTCCATGGGAGCCACAAAGGGTCCAAACATACTAATGATATTAGCCATGATGGAACTCAGCATCATACTAAGAACCCTACCACGAAGATTACAAATAAGAATACGAATGTTGTTCACAAGACGAAACATTCTGAAAATAAAAAACGATAACAATGCGAATGCGAATCATAGGACATCTGGCCGACATCTGCGAGTCAAGCTTCGCCTTGATCCCCGTCTGCGCGCTGCAGGGAGGACGCGGACAGGGAGGGCGCACCTGCGGGCGCGCGCGGCCTCCGCGTGCGCGCGGGGGCCGCGCGCCTCGGCCCCGTTTTTTGCCGCGAGAGGCTCGGGCGCGTCGCTGGCAGCGGCTGCCTTCTCAGAGGGCTTGGACGTTCCTCGGCCTTCGGAGAAGTTTTCCGCGAGCCTTCCCCAGGGACACGGAAAACTTCTCGGGAGGCCAGAGGGCTTCTGAGAGGCCCCGCCGCCTTCTGAGAGGTCCTCCTTATCGCTTCCCCCCTCGCTCGCCACCGATGTTCCGGGGCTGGGATGTATCCATATCCCCCGCCTGGGGGATCGATCCTCGCGGGGGGGTGGTAACTTCTTCGGTGGTGGACAAGCCTCCATTTAGCAAACCTCTCCTTACAAAAAAAACGCCTGGGACCGAAACCGACGGACCTGGACCCACAAAAACGTCGGCCGCGACGCCCTCTCGCGAACCGAAAACGGCCAATTCGCTAATCGGCGTGGCAGGGTAGGAGGTCTATCAACCTCCGACTTCTGAGCGACCGCGGGGCCGCCAACGACCTCATCGGTGACGGGGTGCGCCGTATAACGGATCCCCGTGCCCTTCGCGTCCAGGAAAGGACCTGTGTATCTCGATTCGCATCAGGTAGGGAAGGGGTGCGGCATAAAAAGGGTGTGGTGCCGATGCTTAATTTGGCGGTGGTATCTGTCGAAGGTGACATCTCCATTGCCACGATCGACACCACACACCCTTATGCCACACCCTGTTCCTATCTCCGAGAGGTCCAATTCTCTGGCGTGCTTCGGCAGCAGGCCGGGGAGACTGGTGATGGCCCGCGGGTCTAATGCCTTGCAGAACTCAGGGCGGACGATCCTCATGAGGCACACGAGAATCAAAAGAGCTCGACGTCCTGGCCCTGCAAAACACGACTAGCCTCAGCGTCGTACTCGGCACGACGCGTCCCTTTCTTGCACGGCGCGTGCATGCACAAACCCTGATTAATCGCCCTCTCAAGAATAGTAGTAACTAAATGTCGGATAACACCAGCACGCTCCGAGCGTTCAGCACCGCCAGCCCCTAAGGCGTCGACGGCTGCCTTCTAGGAACGGGCCGCGCGTGGATCCGACCGACGACACCCTGGCAGGTCGGCAGCTCGAAGCGCAGTCGTCTCTTTGTCCTCGCAGGCCAGCGCGCAGTTGGCGACATCCGAACCCTACCCCACGAACCATCGACTCGACCCTCCTGATCGGGCGTTGGCAGAACAGGGTTTAGTGGGACCTGGTTTCGTGATGTGTACTGGGGGACGCCCCCCCGCCCCGTCCCACTACCCGGAACTGCCGTCACCCGAGAAAACACCAGCTACGGCAGACCTGGGTTCACGATTCTGGCCACTTTAGGAGCCCCAGGGCCCTACCACTAACCCGGTTCCCTGACCCGGGGTCCTGGCTATATACCCGACCTGCACAGACGAGAAGCGGCGGAAGGGTTCGGACTTCGTCAAACGCTCGACGAGTCCCAAAAGCCCCACACCTGCCGCCCATCAAGCTGCCAGAGCCTCGATCGGCGAGGGTGGGGCCCAGATCTCGCCGCCGACCGCTGTCGTCTGCGGGCCCTGCGCGACCGGGCCACCGGCACCTCCGCGACGTGCTCGCCAGGAGAGCCCCAAGTCGAATCGACAAGCCAGGGGGCCACATGCGGACCCTACCCCCTACCCCCCATGATTTCCGAGGGGGAGGGTGGGGTGCACTTCGCTCGGGAGCTCCCAAGCGAAGTGAACCCCACCCTCCCCCTCAGAAATCACGGGAGGTATGGGGTAGGGTTCGCATGTAGCCCACTACAAGCCGGATCGGCACATCGGAATGAACCGGATGGGCGGAGACTGGAGATCAGCGGCTGTGTTGGGAGAAGTCGAGTCGGGGGAAATCGGCAGGCTGGTAGGCCTCCGTTAAAAATCGAAACCCAGACCGGAATCCCCAGTTGAATCGTATCGGGATCGGAAGCCATCGAAATCGAATCGAATCGAATCGGAGGAATCGAAACGAGACCTGGCACACCCACAAGTAGCTGCACCCTCACAAGCAGCAGCCGCGGACGAGCCTCCGAGGTGAGCCTGATCCAGAGACATCACGACCGACAACAACTACCACGGAACTGCCGCCACGGATCGCAGACACACCATGGGGCATGGAGGAGCACAGCTGGCAAACTGCGCACTGAACCTCAGACACTGACAGAAGAGGGTCCGACATGCACAGCCCACGTGAAGCTGTAGTCCACGTAGAGCTGTGGAGGGCTGAACAGAAATTGCGCACCAGTGCCCTCGTCGTGGACGCCTGGTGGGCAACCTGGGGATCGCAGAGAGCGTGGGCACAAGAAGACTTGCGGGGTGGAAGCAAGGAGAGGACGAGGATGGAGATCGGCAGAAGATCTGCATGAACAGTACGCAATCGTGCTAGAGAGGACGAGGATGGATGATGACGAGGAGATGGAGGAGAAAGTGTGGGGGACGAGGGATAGACCCACTTCCCTGGGACCGGCTTTGCATCGCGAGCCATTTTCTGACGTTCCCGAGGCCCAGTAAGGGCCCCGAGGTGCAGAAAACGAGGAACAACCTCCGCCTCGATATTTGTTCGGGATGCCAGATGTCGAAGGAGTAGAAGCAGACAGGAGGGGTGTGAGGAGGAAGACGGCGACAGGGTCGCGGAGCCAATGCGCGCGCCAGCAGGGAGCTGCGTGCGAAAGGCCGGCCTCACCGTTGCAGACGATGACTACGACCAGCTCCTCCTGGCGCCATCCGCTCCCTCCTCCTCTTCCTCCTCCACCTCCTCCTCCTCCTCCTCCTCCTCCTCCTCCTCCTCCTGGCTGGCTCCCCCTTCGAATAAGGGATCGACTACAGAATTGATGTACCCCTAAGCTGATTTTCTCGTCGAGTCATACGTGGAATTCTCGCAGATCTACAAAAGTTCTACGCGTTTCTCATGGAGTCGACGAACAGATCAACTTTGGGGTAAGTCCATTCTGTAGTCGATCCCCTACTCGACTCCAGGCTCCCTCTTCCTCAGTTCCCTTTCCTTGCGATTGGCTCCTCCCTCTCGCACCCCGAGACGTGTCGGCAGGGCGGAAGGTGCGTTTAGCCTGAGACTTCCTCACCATGTATGATCCTTAAGTTTGCAAGGAGGGCTTACTGTAACATCGTTGATGGGCCTTGGCTTTACACTGGTCCTCCTCCTCCTCCTCCTCCTCCTCGTCTTCCTCCTCCTCCCTATCCCAATATTCTTCCTACCATCTTCCTCCTACCAGTACCCGCCTCCGGGTGCCCTCCGCCTGCTTCCTGCAGCACTTCCTGCTCATCCACCTCCTGGCTCCCTCCCTCTACTGGCTCCCTCCTCCTGCTCCGCCTCGCCTCCTCCACCTCCTCCCATCCTCCTTTTCCACTGGTCGGACTTCAACCGCCTCCTCCTCCTCCGAGCGCCCTCCACTGCCTCTTCCTCGACCCTCGCGTTTCGAAACTCGAGGTTCGAAATGATCGAGGATGCCATTGTCTGGCCCTCTGTGGCCCTGTTCAGGCCTCTGGGAAACCCTCCAGACCACCTGGGGGGCCACGACCGGACTACACCCTGCGAAATGCTTAAGAAATCATGGGTTAAGAAATTCAGAGTCTCAGAATTTGAATAAAAACCAAGAATTTCTATTGAATTCTTAGGATTTACATTGAAACATTAAGAATAATCGAGACTCTGGCCAAAAACGTAAGTTTCCTTAAGCATCGCCTAGGGTGTACCCCTGGGGACTTCTGCTGAGCTTCGGAGATCTCCAGGGACGTCTGAAACCTCCAGCTCCTTCTCCTCGTGGCGCCAACCTCCGCATCCTCGTCCGCCTGGCGCACTCCTGGCGACCTTCTCCGGTTCCTCCTCCTCCCTCCTCCAGACTTCTCTTCCTCCTCCGCCTCCCCCTCGCCCTCGTCCAGACACCCTCCTCCTCCGCCTCCTCCTCGTCCTCGTCCAGACACCCTCCGCCTCCTCCTCCTCCTCCTCCGCCTCCTCCTCCTCCGCCTCCTCCTCCTCGTCTTCCCATTACTCCTCCTCGTGGCACCCTCCTACTCATGCTGCTGCTGCTGCTCCTCCTCCAGCGGTTGATGTAGCCCGGCTTTGACCGCAAGGTCGCAGTGTCCATACGTAACCATGCACCATGGCCGCACAAACGCAAAACGGAGTGCAACGTCCAACAGCTGAAACCGCGTTGTAGAGGACCAGAGAAGCCTGATGCGGGCGTCGTGTGGCAGTGCCTACTGTGATTAGGTGGAAGCGGGACAAACATGAAAACCGATGCAGTGAACAAGGTGGGTAACCGAAGTGGAGGTGGAACCAACTCCTAGACCGCAACAGGTAAATCGTGCTGAACGAAAAATAAAAGATACCCCAAATATAATCCAAAAATAGTCCGAAAATAGTCTGGGGAATATTTTTGGGTGTTGTTTGACCTTTTTGGGTATGTGTGGGGTATGTTTTATTTGTCGTCGAAAATCCCCCTGTAGGGGGACACGCCCGACTTAACAGTAGTGACTAGTGGCTCACTGGTGAACAACAGCTGCAGGCAGCCAGACTTCTACAGCGCTCGACCGCAGGGGGAACACCAAGGGCAACCTGGATGGAAAAGTGGCAAGAAACGGCGAGAGAAAACAGCAACAGATGGGGCAATTGAGGGCTGGGCAACAAACTCTGCAATCGGCCCTGTAGCAGAAGGGCAACAAGCTGGGCGGCGCCTAACACTGAAAAGGAAGCAGTACTTACGCGCAGTGGCATCTCCTGCTACAGCTCCTTCTCTTGCTCATCCTCCCCACCTGGCACTCCCCTGACTGACGACGACAAGCTCCGCCTCCAGTATGAGGAGGGGGAGGGAGAATGAGGAGGATGGAGCATGAAAGACGGGGGAAACACCTGTCAAAAGATCCGACAGATCTTCGGCTACATCTGGAAAGCATCCGAGCACATCTCCCCCGAGATTGGCCCGAGCCACTCTGAAGGCGAGCCCTGATCAGGACTATAAACTGGTTCCCCCAGAAGGCCCTACAGGAGGCACCCCGGATATGGCAACGGGGCCCCCCAAAGTCCCGAAAAGGCAAGAAACAGCAAACGGCCTTCCCCTCCCCTCCACTCCAGAGGCCCCGAGGAGCGGGCGGGGGAAAACATGATTCCGACATCGCCACTCCAGGGGCGCCTTCTGGCCAGGATTTGGGGGTGCCTCCAGCTGCGGCGACGAGGGCCCCCCCCCGGAAGGCCCAAAAGGGCGACAGAGAGTGAAAGGCGGCTGTATCGGCATACAGAGTGGACGCGGACGCGAGAACTCCTCGCAAGAAATCCAACCCTGAAGATCCGCACACGAGGTCCAGTTCGGGAGGGAACCAGCTCCGCATCGCCAGCTGGAGGTCTCTGAGCAGCGCGCGCAGCAAAGAAACCCAGTGCACCCTGACGAAGAGTACATGGTGTCTTGATGTGCGTTCCCGCTGAACGGCAGGTTCGTGTCGTGACGAGTTTCACGCTGGTCTCTGACGGTCTCTGACGCCGCGTGGATCGCCCAACCTTGAACAATCGCGGCCCTCCGGCAGCGGAGGACGAGGTCCTGCTCTGGGGAGGCTCTCTGCCGCACTTTCCCCCGAGGGGGGGAGGCAGAGGACGATGACGATGACGATGATGCTGCTGCTGATGATGATGATGATGATGATGCTTATGCTTATGCGTATGCTGCTTATGCTGCTGCTGCTGATGATGCTGATGATGATGATGAGAATGATAATGATAAAGATAATGATGATGATGATGATGATGATGCTGATGCTGATGCTGATGCTGATGATGATGATGATGATGATGATGATGATGATGATGATGATGATGATGATGATGATGATGATGATGATGATGGTGGTGGTGGTGGTGGTGGTGGTGAGGAGGTGGTGGTGAGGAGGAGGAGGAGGAGGAGGAGGTCCTGCTGGCTCTGCCCGCAGCGCCGCAAGTCCTGCACCGACGAGACGGTCGTGCACCGCCGCAGGCTGGTACCGGCGCTCTCCTGGCGATGGCGCGCGCGCGCGAGGGGGCGCGGCCTCGGGAGAGAGCGAGGGCGGAGGCGGGGGGGGCGCGGCGAGCTGCGGCACGGCTGCACGGGTACTGGGTCCTCCTCCTCCTCCTCCTCCTCCTCCTCCTCCTCCTCCTCCTCCTCCTCCTCCCGCCCTTCCTTCTGCCATCCTCTCATCTGACATCGCCCTTCCCCCGCTCCTCCTCTCTTGATCTGTCCCCTCCTCCTGCTCCGCCCTCCTCTCTTTCCTCCAGCGTAGCCATGATGGCTCAAGGCGTCAGGACCATGGGCCCAAGCGTTCTTGGTGCCCGTGTCGTCCTGACCGCAGCGCGGTGCCCGAACGGGACAGCGCGACCACAGCGCCATGTCCCGAGAGGCGACCCAGGGTAGCCCCTCGGGTGGGGCACATCCCTGGTAGCGGCCGGACGTCGACTGGGCACCTCGACTCGAGTGTCGGCACCAAGCAGCAGGTGACTGAGGGCCGCGACGTGCTGGCAGAAGTGGGGAGCTGGCTCGAGGACCTGGAAAACATGAGCAGGCGCATGCACAGCAGGAGAAGGCACCGAGCGGCAGTTGCCCGAGGGCCGCGATGTACTGACGGGCTTGGACAACAAGCTTGAGGTCCTGAAGACGGTGGACAAGCTCAACTACCCGTCGGTCGGAAGGCGTTGGAAATAGATTGGGCTTCCGCCCGCCCACTGAAAAGGAGGGAAGAGGCAAAACCTCTCGACCCTGGAAGTAGGAAGGCGCCTAGAATAGAGTGGAGTCTGGGAGTACAAAATACCTACTTGCAACGACCAGCGTCTACTGCCTGGACGTGGACGGCGCCAAGCGGCAAGATACAGTCAGCCCGTATCGTAAGGATCCACGGTGAGGACGCCAGGGCCTTGGAGGGCCAGGTTAACGTTTTTCGAAAGAGGCTGGCCAGCGAGAGTCGCTACGGATGGGCCGGTGGGGCAAGGATGCAAGGGCAGCCTTGGGAGGGTTGCCCATCCTCACCGTGCGGGCTGACTGCACGGCCTGCACGTCGACAGCGCCACGCGGCAAGACGCCGAGGGCGCCCGGAGCCAGCTGGAGGACCCGAAGGACGGGCACGGGCCCGAACGCAGCACGCAGGTGCTCGGGAACGGCATCCCGGAAGGCCTTCTCCTCCGCGCTCTTCCCCCCCCCCCTCGCTCGCCGCCGATCCTGGGCCGCGACCCCGCGGGACACAGGGCGCTCTTCGCGGATGCCCCCCACGGAACGCAACGCCGTGTGACCGCGCGTCCGCGGGCTCGGGCCCCGGGAGCCCGACCCCGAGGGCGCGGACCCGGACAGGATCGCCCCTCGTGGGGACCGGGGGCTTCTGAGAAGCCGCCCAGGAAGCATCCAAACCTCAGGGAACTTTCTCCTCCTGCTCCTCCTCCTCCTCCTCCTCCTCCTCCTCCTCCTCCTCCTCCTCCTCCTCCTCCTCCCTCCTCCTCCTCCTCCTCCTCCTCCTCCTCCTCCTCCTCCTCCTCCTCCTCCTCCTCCTCTCTCCTCCTCCTCCTCCTCCTCCTCCTCCTCCTCTCCTCCTCCCTCCTCCTCCTCCTCCCTCCTCCTCTCTCCTCCCTCCTCCTCCTCCTCCTCCTTCCTCCTCCTCTCCTCCATCCTCTCCTCATCCTCATCCTCATCATCATCATCTCATCATCTCTCATCATCATCATAATCATCATCATCATCATCATCATCATCATCATCATCATCATCATCATCATCATCATCATCATCATCATCATCATCCTCATCCTCATCCTCATCCTCATCCTCATCATCATCATCATCATCATCATCATCATCATCATCATCATCATCATCATCATCGTCATCATCATCATCATCCTCATCATCCTCATCAGCATCATCCTCATCCTCATCCTCATCCTCATCATCATCATCATAATCCTCATAATCCTCATCATCCTCATCATCCTCATCATCCTCATCATCCTCATCATCCTCATCATCGTCATCATCATCAGCAGCATCAGCATCAGCATCATCGTCATCATCAGCATCACCACCATCATCATCATCATCTTCATCATCATCATCAGCATCATCATCATCAGCATCATCATCATCAGCAGCATCATCATCATCATCATCATCTTACAAGATTACTACAAGTATGTTTGATATCGTTAATATGATCCGCATTAATGTTATGATTGTTCGTCTTCTTAGTATGATTATTATTATTATTATTAGTATTATTATTACTATTCCTCTTGGGTCCTGGTGGACGGGTCCTGGGCCGGCTTCTCTTCGTACCGAGTCGCTTCGGATGGTCCTGGGGCCTGGCCGAGGCCCCCAGGACGCGAAAGCGGCGAAACACCCCCAGGGACCCTTTCCCCCAATCAACGCTCTGCCTTCATGCTGCGGACTGGAAGCTTCCGAGGAGGCTTCTTAGAATCTGGGAGAGCTTCCAGGAAGCGCCCTGCCCTCTCAGAAGCCCCCCCCCTGCGCTCCACCTCGCGGCACGAATCCGCGCAAGATCGCTCTCTGGATCCCGTCCTGCCGGGTTCCCCGAGCCGCGCCCAGCAGAGGCGACCAGAACCCTCAGAAATAATGCATGGTACCTACCAAAAATCGACGACGGCGTCGTGGTGGTCTTCGTCTGCTGTGGCACGAGAGGACGGGAGCTGCGCGGGGGGGGAACACATCGACCTAGAGTCGACGAGGCATCCACGATAGAGCGGCGATAGGCCCCTAACTGCGAAACTTCACGCCTCTGGGCAGGGTGGGCCATCGTCGGGCCCCTATCGGCGATGAAGACGCGACTGGGGGGCGATGCGCCCCCCTTGGCCTTTCGCCCCCAGAACGTTGCCCCTGCGGTTTTCGGGCCGTCCGCCACCGTGCCTGGGGCACGTTGAGGCGTGGAAGAGAGACGAGCGCTGCCTGGCAAATGTCTGTAGTTTTCTGAGAGACCACCCACCTGTCACACCCACGCCCAGTTACCTGCATCGCCCCTACTTCAGGGGGTCCCTGGGAGGCCATGGCGCATCCCTGAGGCTCTCCGAGGCTTCCATGACGGCCTGGAAAGTCCACCCAGGCCGACTAAGAGGCCTCCAAGACAGCCCAAGATCGCTCCAAGACGCCCAAGATGGCCCCAGGACGGCCCAAGAGGCCGCCAAGACGCCCCAAAAGGCCTCCAAGAAGTCTCCCAAAAGGGCCCCGACTGGCAGAAATCATTGATATTCCGTAGGTGTTTGAAGGATTTCGGCGTTCTCGCCTTCGGCCGAAGAGGCGCCCAAGACGACCCGACCGGGCCCCAAGACGGCCCCAAAAAGGGCCAAGGGAACACAAACCAAAAATCCGAGCCGTCCGCCCCAAGAGGCCCCCATGAGGCCCCAAGAAAAGACGAAGAGACCTCAAGGGACCCCCAAGAGCCCCCAAGAGGCTCCCAAGAAGCTCCCAAACGGCCCCCAAGAGGCCTCAGAACTGCCTCCGAGAGGCCCCCGAGAGGCCTCCGAGGAGATCCCAACGAACACCGAATAGGCTTCATACCCACAACCCGGGCACGGTGGCTAGAGGCCTCCCTGATGGGTCGAGCAGATGGGGTCGGAGGGTCGCGTCGCATCGCTGGTGCGTCGGCGATGCATCGCCGATGCGTCGGCGATGCGGCGCGATGCGGAGCCCAACTTCTCTACGCCGACGGCGCCGATGCATCGGCGACGCGGCGCGATCGTCCGACCCCGCCTGCTCGGACCCCACCCGGGAGGCCCGGAGCGGCGGGAGGTGCCGCAGGCGGCTGTGGCCGACTCGGCTCCCCCACGGCCGCTCGGGCCCTCGGACGGCCCTCGGCGGGGCGCGGCTGCCCGCAGGCCAGCCCGAGGCCTCGGCGACCGCCCAGGGGCGCCCGGGAGCCTCCGAGGCCCCGGGCCTCGAGCCTCCGTCCCCTCTGGCAGCCGATCCTCCCCCCCGCCAGGGGAGCCAGGAGGTGGCTGTTGCCGACAACGCCACGCCCCGGGCCGCTCCCGGGGCGCGGCCTGGCCAGGACTTCGGGGCGGATCCTGCGGCGGCCACGGGGGCCTCCGAGGAGGCCGAACGGAGGGAGAACGGGCGAAGGGTAGTTGGCACTCGGTGCCCTTTCCTCCTCCGACTGGCGGCAGCGCGCAGAGGGGGGGCAGGGGGAGAGGGGGGGGGGCTTCTCAGAAGCACCCCTGCTTCCTAGAAGGCGCGGGCCTTCTCCATAGATGTAGGGCCTTCCCAGAGCAGGGTCTCTAAGAAGCTTTCCCCCTACCCCCCCCCCCCTCGGCGCGCCGCCAGGACCCCATTCCCCCCTCCCCCTCCCCCTCCCGCCTCCCCCATGTCCCCCTTCACACCTACACAACATGAATACTACTCTCCTCTCTCCCCTGATGACGTCTGGAAGATGTTCGGCAGGATTCTCGGGAGTTGGGTTTTCGCTTGGGTGTTTTCCACAATGTTGCTCCCGCCGCTGGCATCATTGTCTGGCTTCCGCCCGATCCGAATCGTGCTCCCGCTGCAGCGCTGGCCTGATTGCCGCGCTTCCGCTCGTTCCGAGTCGTGCTCCCGCTGCAGCGCTGGCGTCATTGCTTCCAGTGCCATGCCACGGCATGCAATGCAATGCTATGTGGTGTTCCTCTTTGCGATGCCATGCCTTTAGGCGCAATGCTAGGACATGCAGTACTGGACTACGCAGTGCCACGCCATGCTATGCCATGCTATGCCATGCTACGCTTTGATCTTCAACTCCATGCTATGCCATGCTCCCTTCTGAGCCGCTGTGCGATAGCATTATTTGCGTTGCAATGCTTCGTGATGTAATTATTCACTACGCAACGCCACGCCATGCTATGACATGCTATGCTTTGCCGTGCTCTTCTACGCCCTGCTACGCCGTGCCCTACGATGCATCGCGCACCCTCTCGGGATCATTGCCCTGCTCGACATCCGACAGCGCGAATAGAGAGGAGATCTGCGCCATGGTAAGGGCTGGGAGGGAGGGGCAGGACGTCTGATATGACGCGAGAGTATCTAGCTTGCCCCCTCCCCCTCCCCCTGCCCCCCTTTTCCAGGAGAGCCCATAATCAAATCGATAAATCGATTCGGCGATCGAAATTAATCGGATCGGCGGAAATCGGCAGCCGGGTCGGGAAAAGTCGGATCGGCGGAAATCGGCAGGCTAGCAGGCCTCCGCTGAGGAGTCGGAGCCCAAGTCAGAACTCCAAGTCGAATCGAATCGGAATCGGAAACCATCGAAACCGAATCGAATCGAATCGAATCGGGGGAATCGAAACGAGCCCTGCTTTTCTCGGAGGCCTGGAAATGGGCACCAACACCAACACAGGGGGTTGCCTCCACAGGGGGAAGATGATCCTCGATGTCGGTGTTGGTGTCATACTTCGGCCACCTTGCAGCCAGAATACCACCACCACCACCGAGATCGGGATCCTCTTCCCTCGGTGGAGGCACGCCGCCGAAGTTGGTGCTGGCGTCCACCTCTGGGCCTGCGATGTTCCCCCCCTCTGACTATTTGGGGCCTGCGATGTTCCCCCCCTCTGACTATTTGGACGCCCGACATGGGTACAGAAAAAATGGGTACCATGCCCAACAACAAATGTTGTCCCAAACCAACAACGGCCGCTGTTGGGCAGGCGGCCTCCCGTCTCGAATGGACACAGGCCGCGGCGGCGCGGACGGCGAGCCCTCTTCAAAAGGAACAGGAACTGCTGTTGGGCATCGTACCCATTCTTTCCGTGCCCATCTCGTTCGTGCAGAGATAGGGCGACGAGATCTATACATATCCACTGCTCCTGGCCAGGCCAATCCTGGGCCCAGGAGCGGTGTATACGCCCTCCTGGCCTGGCCAGGGAGGCATATACACAGCTCCTGGGCCCAGGATGGGCCTGGCCAGGAGCAGTGGATATGTATAGATCTCGTCGCCCTAAGAGAGACGGCCGCGCGCCGCGGCGAGTCCTGGAGGGCGCTCGACGGCCGGCTGGCGGCCGTCCCGCGGCGCTTCGGGGACTCGCTCGACGGCTGCCTCGCGGGCCGCCGGCGCGGCCCCTGCGCCCGTCGGCCCTGCTGGGCCTGTTTGCCACCACCACCACCGGAGGTCGGAGGGGGGAAGGAGGTGGAGGACGAGGAGGAGGAAGACGAGGGGGAGGGGGAGGAGGAGGAGGAGGAGGAGGAGGAGGAGGAGGAGGAGGAGGAGGAGGAGGAGGAGGAGGAGGACCCCCTCCCCCTCCAACTCATGGTGGTGTTGGTGGGAAAGAGGCCCATCAGGCGGGTTCTACCTCCTCCTCCTCCTGCTGAAGGGGCCCAGGTACACACACAGGAATACCCAGCAGTCGGAAGAAGTAAATAGAAACATGGAGTAGGAAGGCGTTGAAAGTGGATTGGGTTCTGTCCGCCCCCCTGGGAGGACTGAGAAGGTGAAGCCCCTCGATCATTGAAGTAGGAAGGCGCTTCAAGTAGATTGGAATCTAGGAACCCAGATATACCTACTTTCAACGGCCGATGGGCAACCACAAATCCCCAGAGTCCCCATGTTGTTCGATATCGTATGGATGCGCGTCGTTTCCCCCGCCCCCCGTGTCTTCCCACACATACCTGGAAATCGCAGACTGTTCGTGTCTGTGTTTTTCCCCTCCTCATCCTGCGTCCATCCCCCCCCCTCTTCTCCCCAACTCCTCCCCCTGCTTCTCCAGCGTCCCTGGGGTGGCGGAGGCGCGGAGCAGTGCGAGGGGAGGGGCCTCAACGGGACGTGAAGAAGAGGGCCCTGACGCGGGGCCCCTTCAGGCCTCCTCGGAGCCAGCAGGGACCCCCAAAGGAGCCATGCAGGGCCCCTTTTTGGGGCCCTGCTCTTCACCCCCCCCTGCATGTTGGAGTCCCGACACGGTGCGGTGACGGACCGTGCGGTGACCTCGAAGTCCTCCAGGACCTCACAGCACGGTCCGTCGCCGCACGGTCTTGGGACCTCGGAGGCCCCTGTCGCCCGAGACGTCTTCGGAGAACGACCCGAGTCCCAAAACCGTGCGGTGACCCCGAATACCCACCGACTCACCGCACGGTGCGGTCACCACCCCTTTTGGGGACCCCCGACTGTAGGTCACCCCCCCCCCTCACCACCCGCCCGGCATCCTCTGCCGTGCACAGGTCTTCCGGGAGCCTCCTGGGTCCGGCCGCCTGTACGGCAAGGCTGCGGGATGCGCGGGGGGGGGGCAGGCCCAGACGCCTGCGACGTCCTGGCGGACTGTCCGGGCGCGAGGCCCCATCGCTCTCGCCGGCTTTCGGGCCGCGGGCCGTCTCGGCGTGGTGTCCCGGGGCCCCGGAGGCCCAGCCTCAGAGAGGCTGGCGGCCCCTGGAACCTTCCCTGACTGACTGCCTCCTCTTCGTCCTCCCTCCTCCTCCTCCTCCTCCTCCTCCACCTCCTCCTCCTCCTCCTCCTCCTCCTCCTCCTCCTCCTCCTCCTCCTCCTCGTCCTCGTCCTCGTCCTCCTCCTCCCCCCCCGCCTCCTCATCCTCATTATCATCATCACCCTCACTCCTCGTCCTCCTCATCCTCCTTCCTCCTCTTCCTCCTCCTCCTCCTCCTCCTCCTCCTCGCCGTCATTCTCCGCCTCCTCCTCGAGTGGGGAAGAGGGCAATAAAGAAGAGGGAGAGATGTCATCCCGTCATCCCGTGATCCCTATAACTTTGCAGTAAGAAAGGGAGGAGGAAGAGGAGGAGGAGGAGGAGGAGGCAAGAGGAGCAGAAGGAGGGCGAGAAGTCACCCCGCCATCCCTGCCATTTCGCATCAAGAAAGGGAGGAGGGGGAGGATGAGGAGGACCAGTGTATTTCCATGAGTCATCGATTGAGGTTGGAATAAACCCTCCGTCAAAGCTCCCTCTTCATAGGCCCCATGCAACGGTTCATTTCCACTGAGGGAACTGCCTCGTTGGAAGACATCCGTTTGAAGACCCTGAAGCATACCAACACTTTACTCTCGGGACTCCAACGCCACGGATCAACCTGGCTGTTGCGTCTTCACGATCCTGAATCGTGCCAAAGCGCTATTCCTGGGACTCCAACATCGCGAACCAACACAATGGTGCACCCTCATAATCCTGAGTCTTTCAAAAACACCATGTCGCAAGTTTAAAACGAATGTGCGCCGCGTTAATGCGAGAGCCACATGTTTAAAAAGAATCGCCCTCGATCCGTGAAACTCTTCAATGTGTTAAAACGAATGCGCGCGGCGCTAAGCCAGAACAACAGATTGAAAACGCAGGCCTTCAATCCGTGAACCTCTTGCAAATATTAAAGCGAATGTGCGCGGCGCTAAAGCGAGAGCCACATTTTGAAAACGACCCGCCTTATATCCGCGGAGATCTTGCAAATGTGTAAAACGAATGTGCGCGTCGCTAAAAACGATAACCACATTTCGAAAACGACCCGCCCCCAATCCGTGAAACTCTTGCAATGTTGTTAGAACGTATGCGCGCGGCGCTAAGGCGACAGTCACATTAAAAAAAAACACCGGCCCTCCAGCTGCGAACCTGCTGCCAATGTTTAAGCTTCAGGGTCATGAATGGTGAGGAAGTCTCAGGCGGAACGCCCGGCCCCCGCTGATAACTTGCCTCAGGGTGCGAAAGGGAGAAGTCATGCACAAGGAAGGTTAATGGAGATGGAGGAGGAGGATGAGGAGGAGGAGGAGGAGGAGGGAGGAGGCCGGAGGAAGGAGGACAATGACGGCAAATGGAGGCCTCCTCCACCACCACCGCCACCACCACCGCCGCCTCCTCCTCCTCCTTGCCTCCTGTACCCCCCCCTTATGCTCCTCGTCTCTCCCTGCAGGGCGTCGCAGCCTCTGCTCTGAGCTCGCGTCGAACTGGAACGCGCTCATGGACGCTGATCCCGACGCTGCCCTCAGCGTGGAGGAGTGGGAAGGAGGCAGCCGAGGATGGGCAGGAGGGAGAGGGGCAGGAGGAGGAGAGGAGGGGGAAGGAGAGGAGGAGGGGGAAGTGGGAGAGGAGGAGAAGAGCGAGGAGGAAGAGAGGACGAGGAGGGGGAGAGGAGGAAGAGAGGAGAAGCGCGAGGAGGAGAAGGGGGGAAAAAGAACGAGGAGGGGGAGGAGGGGGGGGACGCGCTCTCGCGGAGCTGGCCTCGCCAGCTAGCCGACGGAGCATTCCGACGCCTGCTGCCGTCAACGCTCGCCCCGCCAGAGGCCGCGCCCGCCGGGAGGGGCCGCGGCCTCTGGGGGAACCGCCCTCCCCGGGGGCTTCGGCCTCTGGGGGCCGCCCCCCCCCCCCCCGCAGCGGGGGGCGGGCGTGCGAGACGGCGCGGGACGCGAGGCGGGCCCAGTGGGGACCCTAGGGGTAGGCTACCTGGGGGTAGGCCCTGGGGGTAGGCCCTGGGGGTAGGCCCTGGGGGCAGGCCCTGGGGGTAGGCCCTGGGGGTAGGCCCTGGGGGTAGGAGGAGGAGGAGGAGGAGGGAGGAGGAGGAGGAGGAGGAGAGGAGGAGGAGGAGGTAGGCCCTAGAGGGGTAGGGGTAGGCTCGGGGGTACGCCCCAGAGGTACGCCCCAGCGGCAGGCCCAGG